TTTTGTTTGCTTTTTCCTTTTGTTTGCTTTTTCCTTTTGTTTGCTTTGTATTAGTATCTTGATGTATTAAATCTATAGTTGAAACCTCCTGAGATCTTCTCCAGCCCAGTTTGTAAAAGAACCTGATTTACAGTTGTGGACTGGCTCAAATCTTTCAAAAAAAAACACTTCTCAGAGGAGTACACCTGCTATTCTGTCATAACTATTTTTGTGCTAATTAGAGGTTTTTTGGAACTAGAGAGTCCTGAACTTTTATTTCCTATTTCAGTAAAGTTGACTTTCTTTTCCATTTCTTGGTATTTTGATATCTAAATTAGTCAAAAATCCTGAGCTGCTATAAAAAGAGAGAAAACCAGACTAGGCACTCTAAAATGTTTGTGTAGCATTAATATTATTCATTATTACTCCAATGGGAATAAGATGTCTTTTTGTTTTGAATTGAAGTGAAATATTTCCATGACATTTGGATTGGACAGTGAATTGTTAGCCTCTGTTGAAAATGTCTTCTATCACGCTGCTTTATTCCGTGGCCTAACTTCATTGTTGCTGCCTTTTACCTGCCCAACCATCCCAAGACCACCTATCAATATTTATTGATTGGTGGCCTTTTCTTTTATTCATTCATGAGATGAAGGTGTTATTGGTTAGGCCAGCACTTGTTACTCATCCTTAGTTGCCCTTCTGAAGGTGGTGATGAACTGCCCTGAACTGCTATAGCCCACTTGGTTTGGTAGACTCAATGCCTTTAATTAGGAAGTTCCAGGATTTTGATTCAGCCCTTTGTCATCCAGTGATTCCCTTGCATTCGCCCGAGACTTTTGTTCATACTTTTAGTAGGCTAGATGAGGACTGTTTTCTGAATCTTCAGAGCCTATGTTGGTCATCCAAATTATAAGGTCCCTAATTAGATCTATTAAATGTAAAATCAGCTTGCAGCAAATTTATTGATAGATTTTCTAAATGCATAAAAAGAATTATCTGTATATGAACCTTTTTCAATACAATTTCAAATGCCCAAATTAATAAATTGTCTAATTTGTGACATACTTTGAATGCTTCTGGTTAATGTGTGAAATGTTACTTCTATAGGAAAAGTTGTTGGAACTCGCTGTCAACCCAGAGACTGTGGATGTTGGATTAATTTAAATTTAATTCACTTTTGATTGAATTTTGTTTGGTGAGGATGTGGAACAGAGTTGGAAGAAAGAATACGGATCTACCGTAGTCTTAATGCGATGACAACCTGGTTTCAAGACCAGAATGGCCTGTTCCTAAGTGTAAAGCTCACTTCTTAAAAAAAAAAACAAATGGGGCATGTGAATCCAAGGAAAGTTTGAGTCACATTTAATCTTAATTGCTGATATCAACACACTTGTAAAATCTTAACAAGCTGTTCCCTTTTTATCTGAAGGTTCATGCCAGGTCCAAAAGAGGTTTGGTGTTATAATGCAGTTACAGCAGATGCCAGGCTTCCTGCAGCGTCTGATATGCACAGCAGATGTTGTATTCTGAGCCCTGAACTTGCCCTACCAACAGGATCTAGAGCACATACCACCAGATCTCATGGGGCTTTGCACATTCTAGGTATGCATTCTTCATAATTATATGTGCATTAGTTAATTCAGAAGCTCAGCACTGATCTTTATATTTACTCAAAAGTTTTTGTCAGATTGTATGAACGATTAAGTACCATTGACAAGTTGTTGGGTGTTGCTATATGCAGCTTGTTGTAGAGAATTAATATGGCAAATAATCTAAGTATGCAATTTGCTGTAATCGGTCTGCTAGAACTGTAGAAACTATAATTGTTAACTGTCGCTATAACTGATTTTTTTTTTGTATTTAATTTGTTTGTTAGAATTCAAGCAACAATTTTAGGAAGGTGTTAAGTATTAATATGATATTGTTCGTGTATTTTTTCAGTTTGACCTGATTCCTCCAGGGTCCCGGGTTAGATTCCAACCTCGGATGACTGTTTGTGTGGAGTTTGTTTGCACATTCTCCGTGTCTGGATGGGTTTCTTTGGGATGCTCCGGTATCCCCCCACAGTCCAGAGATGTGCAAGTTAGATGGATTGGCCATGCTAAATTGCCCATAGTGTTCAGGGATGTGCATGCTAGGTGGATTAGCCATGGGAAATGCAGGGTTACAGGGATAGGGTCGAAGAGTAGGCCTGGGCAGGATTTTTTTCAAAGAGTCAGTGTGGACTTGAGCTGAATTGTCTGCTTTCACGTTGTGGGCATTCTTTGATTCTATGGCAGATGGTGAAATTTGAAGTCTATAAAAATGTGGGATGAAAAGTTGATCCAATGGCAATCACGTATTCACTCTAGCATGTCATAAAATCTTATCTGGTTCACTAATGTGCCCTTCAAAGAGGGGGGAAAAAAAAAGTCCAACCACTTCCCCGATCACAAATGTGGCTTCAGATCCACAAGAGTGTGGTCGACTCCTTCCTGCAGTTAAGCTTGGGCAATAAATGCTAATAAATTTACTTTTCCAGAAAAGGAAGGATGTGAGTGCACTGGAGGGGGTGCAAAGGAGACACCAACCAGGATTTGCCTGGCTGGAGCATTTGAGCAGTGAAGGGAAGCTGAATAAGCTTGGGTTCTTTGGAACTGAGAAGGTTGAGTGGCAGTACCTGATAGAGGTATATAAGGTTATGAGGAGTATGGACGTGGTGAACAGAAAGCAGCTATTCCCCATAATTGAAGGGTTGTTAACTTAATTTTAGAATGAAAGGCATTTTAGAGGGGATTTGAGGAAAAACCTTTTCACCCAGAGGGTTGTGGGGGTCTGGAATGCACTGCCTGGGAGGTAGTTGAGGCAGGAAACCTCATATAATCTTGAAAAAAAATACTGGATTATTACTTAGTGTCATAAAATCCAAGGCTGTGGGACTAGTGTAGGGAGTAGTGTACTTTTGACAATAGAGATTTGCTGGGCCTCTTCTGTACTGTAAAATTCAATAACTGATCATTCTTCAAGGCTTCATCCTTGGTTCTTGATCCTTTAATTAATCGTCTCCCCTCAGCCCCTGTTATTTACTAGGGGAGAATCAGAATCCTCAAACACGATAACGTCCCGTTCCACTGTCAATTTCTAGGATCATTCCTGTTGTTAATTCCAAAATCATTGCAACATTTTATTACTGTTTACATGACCATAAATTCTGAATGATCAGTTTCCTTTGCCTGAAAATCAATGCTATTCCCTTCAATTACTGCTAGTGAATATTCCTTTTTTACTCGACTTGCAGGTGATCATCTGATTATGTCTGTAGTATCAGGTCGGATCCCTGAATCGCCTAACCATATTAGGCTCCATGCCAGGAGTCCAGCCTTTCTTCAAACCATAGCTGTTAATACCTCTAAACTACTCTTGAATCTGTCTAAATCCTAATCCTTTTGTCATGTTGAGGGTTGAATTTTTAAGCCTGTTCTCACTGATCTTTTCACCAGCCACTGACTCCTGACTTTGTTCAAAATTTTTCCTGTATCCTTCCCCTTTTGTAGTCTTTCACACACATTATCATTAATTACCCCTCAAAAAATTGCAACACTTTCCGTCCAGTGAAATAAACTTCAAGACCTTGAATTTCTCACATTGAAATCCATTGCGGTCTGCTCCATCAACGTGTTTCCATGCATAAATCCTCAGCATCGTGTTAGGATGTTCTGAACTTCTAATTTCTCTATTTTCTAACTTATTCCTACAATCTGAAATGCTCGACTTTTTATTTCTTTCTTTTTCTAAGTTTCCTTTCCTAAGTACTTGTACTGAATAATATGTACATAGGTATCTGGTACCTAAGATGGCATAAGTGGCAACTTGTAAACTTTTTCACTGTACTCATTTGAGTACATGTAACAACACAGATAATTCAATTTCTGCCCCTGTGATAGCAGATTGCCTTCTGGTATTAGAAAACAAATGTTCATAGTTGCTGTGTACATGTAGGTGCCACTTTAATTTTGCAATGCACTTGAGTTTCTGGCATTCATCTTGATATAAGAACTCAATGTATACTCAAAGTTTGCAGATAAAGTTAACAAACATTAGTGTTTGTAAAGTGTGTTGGGAGTTTTAACTTCCACAACAGTAGTACACCTTGTGGTGTTTGCAAGTGATTACTAACTTTTCAGGAAACAGAGATTATAATACCTTTTACTTTACCTGTCAGATTTGAGTATTGCTATAATTTCTTTTATTGGTTTTAAGGCATTGATTTGTTTTAGATATTCAGTGAAATTGGTCCTTAAGCTGATACTCAAATTTCAATATTATGTAAAGTGTTCCCAATCGTGACTAGTTAGTTTAGGATTGTTGTAGACTTAATGGATTCTAATTGTGAATTTTTGGTGTGGAGGAACTGAAAATGTAACAGAACTATAATTGTCTATCTGGATGAAACACCTTCATTAAGTACGGTCAGTGGATGTAAATTGTGAAGTATTTGGCTTTTCTTGTTTAATTCTTTTTTAAATATTGAAACAGGTTGTCTGGATACGTTAGCTGTTATGCAGGATCTGAAAATGGGTGTCACCAACACTGAGGAGGAGATCCAAGCAGTTACTAAAGTGTACTCCAAAGAAGACTATAGTGTGGTTAATAGATTTGAAAGTAGGTTCATAATATAAGTAAATAAAGATTAACTCAATTTCATTAAATTGTTTTCATTTTTAAGAAGCAGTTTGCATTAATTATATTTGCAACTGCTATAATTCCTTAGGTCATGGAGGTGGATGGGGATATTCTGCTCATTCTGTGGAAGCCATTCGCTTTTGTGCAGACACAGATATATTACTTGGAGGCCTTGGTCTGTTTGGTGGCAGAGGTGAATACACAGCAAAAATAAAGGTGAGTTGATGAGCAAGAAAGTTACAAAAATTCATATTTCTTTGTATTAGAGCCAGTTCAGGAGTTTGATGAAGTTCTTTTCACTTGAATGCAGCTCTAAAAATACTTCAGTTCAGTACCATCCATGATAAAGTGTCCTGTTTGATTAGTACTCCATCCATCCTCCACCTTAAACATCCATTTCTTCCACTATCAACTCCATTCCAGCTGTCTAAAAGATGCAACGCTACGTTGCTTTTCACAGCATTTTCCAAACCCATGATATCAATCAAAAGGGCACTTGGCACAGGGGAACATCAACACATAGCAGTTTCCCTCCATCTCGCACCAACTGGACTTGGAAGCCCTTCACGAGAGGGGTCAAAATCCTGGAATGCTGTGCCTCAGCGCTGTGAATATACTTCACTGTATGGGTAGCAGTGCTTCAAGAAGGCAGATCAACACTTCCCATTTAAGGGTGATTAAGGATGGACAGTAAGTGCTGCCCTTGCTAGTAACAGTTACTTCATGTGTGTTTAAAAAGCTTGCAATTCAACTGTATTATATTCTTGCTGAAGCCAGGAGCAAGTGCAACTGCATTTCCATTAGACTATAAAACATAGCAGCAGTAGTAGACCATTTGACCCGTTGGGTCTTCTCTGCTATTTAGTGAGATCATGGCTGATCTAATAATCCTCACTGCCTTTTCCTCATAACTCTTGATTCTTATGCTGATTAAAAGTCTGTTTGTCAGCCTCTCTGCGGTAAAGAATTCCACAGATTCACTACCCTCTGAGAAAAGAAATTCCTCCACATCTCTGTCTTAAACGGGTGATGCCTTACTCTGAGATTATGCCCACTGGTCCTAGACTCTCCCGTAAGGCGAAGCAACCTCCCTGCACTTAACCTGTCAAGCACCCGCTAAAAATCTTGTATGTTTCAATAAGGTCACCTCCCATTCTTCTAAAACTCCAATGAGTAAAGGCCCAAACTACACAATCTCTCATCGCCTGTATTGGATGCTATCTGTTTGTGATTTGGGTACAGATCCCCCTCTGCAGCTTTCTGCAGACTTTCTCTACTAAATAGTATTCAGCTCCTCTTTCCTGCCAAAGTGCATAACCTCATGTTTTCCCACATTATATTCCATCGAAGTCTTCTGCAGCCTGACTTAACCAGGCTTCTCACCTATTTATGTCATCTGAAAACTTGGAAACAGTGCATTCGTTTAGCTTGTACAAATTATCAATATATTGTAAATAATCGTGGCCTCTGCATTGATTGCTGTGGCATTGTATGCGTTATAGATTGCCATCCTGAAAAGGCAGCCATTACTTCAGCCTTTGTCTTCTGTAACTTAAGTCAATCCTTCATCCATGCAAATATACGACCCTCAAAGCCATCTGCTCTTAACTTAGAGTAGCCGTTTGTGTGGAAATCCAAATATGTTACATCTACTTGTTCTGCGATTTATCCTGCTCTTTAGTGCCTCAGAATTTAACAAATCTGTCAGGCATGTTTGCCCCTTTTCTGAAGTCATCTTATTCTGCTTGATTATTATCATGTGTTTCTAAATGTTCTGCTATTAATTTTATTAAATTTAACTGGCTTAAAATCACCTGTCTTTTCTCTTTCACTTTTTGAATAAGCATCTTACATTTTCAGTTTTCCAATTATCTGAGACATTTTCTGGTATGTAAGGATTCTTGGATGATTGCTACTAGGGCATTCGATATCTCTAACAGCTTCCATTAATGTCCTGAAATACAACCCAATAGGTCTAGGGGGCTTATTTGCTTTTAGCCCTACTCATTACTCTTTTAGTTATTCCTTAGAGTTATTGTAATTATTCACACACCCTTTTTTGCATCTTGGTTATTTAGTATGTTTGGAATGCCATTAATGTCTTCTACCATTGTTGCTAAGTATTTTTTTTATTCCTCTGCATTTCCAAATTCCCATTGCTATTTCCTTAGCCTTGTTCTGTGACATGTCTAGGTTCCCTGTCGTCTGTCTTTGATTTTTGTATTTTTAAAGAGGCTGTCCATTTTGTTATTTCTTGTTAGTTTAGCCCCCCAAAGTTTATTTTCTATTTTGTGGTCACCTTTAGTTGACTTCTCAAACTTATCCAATCCTCTGGTTACCATTAATCTTTGCCATATTGTCTCTTCCTTTCCTTTCAATTAATACTAATTTTAACTCGCCTGGTTAACAATGGTTGATTTATGCTTTTTCTAGAATCCTCCTTTCTCTTTGGGACATATGTTTGTTGCAAATCTTGAGCTACTTTCTTAGAAGTTGCTATTGTTCATCAACCATCTTTTCTGCTCCTCTTCTTTCCCAGTCCACTCTAGCCAGCTCCACCCACATTCCTTTTTAAGTGCTCTTAAGTTTAGAACAGTTGTTTCCAACCTGAATTTTTCCCCCTTGAACTGCATGCTAAATTCTACTGCGCTATTGTCAGTGTTTCCTAGGGTATCTTAGACTCTGACATACTTTATTAAAATCTGACTCATTTCACTCCACCAGATTGAATATAACTTAATCCCTTGTTCAATCCACAGCATATAGTTCTACAGAAGTCTCCTGAATAAGCCTGTCCCTAGTATTAGTGCCTGTGTCCCTGAAATGAAGCCTTTACTCTGACACCTATCTTTGTAATTCCCTGACTTTATTTACCCTTTGGTACTTTGCCCATTGTGCGTAAATTCGTAATTCTTGATTGTTAGGTGGTTCTGCTTTTTAATTAATCTACTAATTTGCTTTCAACAGAACCTCCTTTCTGTTCCTATCAATGTCATTGTCCATGTTGGTACCAGTGACAACTGGATGCCTCCACTCCTGCTCTCTCTTTCTAGCCTTGAGGAGGTGTCCTTAACTCTGGCACCAGGCGAGCAATACAGCCTTCAGGACTCTCAGATGCAGAAAACAGTATCTGTCCCCTAAATATACTGTCCTCTGCCACTATTATATTACTATTTCCTCTTTGGAACCTCTGTTGTGGTGGGGTGGTCAGCTCATTCAGTCTCCAGGGAATCCTCAAACTCATTCATGAGGCTTGCAAAAACCTCATAGCTGTTGGAGAATTGCAGGGATCCTGGCTCCTTGAGAAATGCCCCTTGGGTCTCCATTCTTGAAGTCACACCTTGCTTAAGGTTGTCAACTACAGAGTTTGCACTGTAGATCTCTCTTTAATATGAAACTTCAACATAAATTAGGCTTGTGCAAATAAGGATTTTAAACTTTCTTACCCAATTAATGCACCCACTCAGGCCTAAATTGAAATGAGATTGCTGGTAGCTAGACAAATTTGAGCATATGTAACTAGTGATAAGTTATACAACAGTAGCTTGTACTACCATAGAAAGCATTTTTTGATGTTCATGGGCAGTTTAAATTTTATTGGTTTACGAAGGGTGTAAAAGAAAATAGATCTAACCTGTCTGTTCAAGCATGCTCCTTAATAGCTTAACATGGAAGTAGCAGTAAGGTTGCTTTTTGTGTTTGAAGAACATCAAACCTAAACAGAGAATCTAAATTATACTTGGAAACATTCTTTTCTTCTTATGCTAGCTGTTTGAGTTGGGACCTGATGGAGGAGATCATGAAATTGATGGTGATCTGCTGGCAGAAACTGATGTTCTGGCATACGACTGTGCTGCAAGGTACATGTTAATCTGTGTTTACTGAACTTTTAATTAATCAAACTGCTGACTTGATTACCTTTTATAATTTGAAATCACATTGGAGAATAGTACTGGAGCTCTGAAGAAGTCATAAATTTGAAATGTCACTGTTTCTCTTTCCACAGATGTTGCCAGTCATATTGAGTTTTTGCAGCACTTTGTTTTTATTAATTGAATCCAGAATACCAGGTTGATAATCTGGACAATGGGTTCAAATCCTGTCATCATAAGTACTGAAATATGAATTAATTAACAAAAATTCTGATTAAAAATCTAGCCTAACAGCAACCATGTAGCCACTGCCAATTGTCATCAATAACCCTCTGATTTGCCAGTGTCCTTTAAGGAAGGAAATCAGCCCTCTTTAGCCAGTCTAGCCCATGTATACTCCAGAATCACAGCAACTTAGTTGACTCTTAACTGTCCTCTGGGCAGTTTGGGATGGGCCATAAAGGCTGGCCCAGCCAGCAGTGGCTACATTACATAAATGAATTTTTCAAAGGTTGAACGTTAGTTCCTAATCCCACGTACGTGCTGTCTTCTCAAATCCTGATATTTGTGTTTCATTCTACTGTTTAAATTTTAAGTATTCTCTTTCACCATCCATTCAACTGCCTCCAATCTGTAGGAGAAATAAGTTCTCCATACTGAATTTTTTTGTATTGAATTTTGAATCATATGTCTCAACCCTTTTATTCTCAACTGTCTCTACTTAATTTGCCCAGTCTCTCTCAAAAACAACACTTCATCCCTTTAAACTCCTCAATTATGTCTTCAGAACCAGAACCCCAAAATCTTGCTTTTTTTTTTCATTTTCCTCTTTCACTATTTTGACATAAATTTATCTTACCAAATACGCCACATTTATTTATTAATACTTAATTCCATATTTTGTTGATTCTACCCTGTTATCAATGTTTCCTTAAACTGCTGTCAAGTTCTACAAAGTTATTTATGGCATTCTGCAGATTTTGATGCCACCCTTTCTAGTGCATTATACCTAGAATATTGAATAAAATTTACATCCGATTGAAACTTATTCATGCTGGTTTTATTGAATGTGTTTTCTATAGCTATCTTTAATAAAGTTGAATTGATCAAAAACTCTACAGCACATTAGCTCTGTTTTCCAAGTTCAAATGGCTTCTTTCTGCCCCAGTAAATTTCATCTCAAGATGCTTGTTAACAACTCCTCTTCGGCTTTTGTTCATCTTTTTACCATGCTCTTTCTCTCTCCAAATCAGGCAGCTCCTTGATATTTTCCTTTTTGTTCCACTCCAAATTCCTTTGTTTCTTGCCCAATGTACACTTCTAACAATATGAAGGAGTGCTGCTTTGCTTATCTTGTAGCAGGTCCTTTAATTCTGTTAATATACAAAATTATTTTAAAAATCTGTTGCCCTGACCTAAATTATATGTTCCAAGGTTTGTGGCTGTTTCTGTGGCAACTGATTCAGGGAGGAGCCAGGCCACTCGTTTCATAATTAGTTGAAGTCTGGATACTTTTGTTAGTTTTGAATGGGGCTGATACAAACGAGGGAAATAAAGTAGATCAGGAGAGTTGAGCGGAGACCACACTGAGCAGGAAAAAAAGACTTCTCTCAATATTGTGACAGGCTTGACTAGCCATGTTTGGTTAAACTGCTAAGAAAAGCATTAAAATTAGGGCTTAGAAGCAGGAGTAGGCCATTTGACCCTTACAAAGGGTAGTGTAAATAGTGTTATTTACAGGAAAAGTGACATTATTTCTATTTTATTCATGTATTGTGTTGAGGTTATGTATGTTTTGTAAAATTAATCATTTAAACTTAAAATTAGATCTGAAGTTCAGTTGTTCAAACACAGCTCAGCAATGTACGAGATCCACTGGGGCAATAGAATAATTTTGATAGCTAAAAATGAGCAGAATGATTGATTGCTCTCATTGTTATAATAAGCCCAGTATAGACTCCTAAAATGATGGGGCGATACAATTTAGTAAAAAGTGTTATGTAATTTCAGAAACGTGACAAGGCTGGAGTCACAATGCCAGAAAAGATCTAGAAGCATAAGATTCACCTCTTGTCTTTTTCATAAAGCACTCTGATGTTTTACTTTGGAAATAAAATATCAATTGAAGTATTTGGTGACAATAAAGAACGTGTTGTTCCTAGAATGCTTAGTGACAATATAACAATTTTATTAATTTGAGGGAAACAAATCGTTTACGTACTTAGTTTATACTTTGCTTAAGTGCTATGTTATTTTTCTGTATCACTTTTCCCCTTTAGTATTTTAATACCTCTGTCATGCACTTGTTAATATCTTTTCCAAACATTTTTTTAGAATTCAAATGTTTTCTGTTGAGCTGGAAATTTCTAGTATATTAAAAATCTCGAATCCTATATAATTTCCTGTCAAACTTGTTCACCTTTCGTAAGTCAAGCTCCCCAGATAAATGTGCTGTCCTGTAATTACAGCTTCTTGCCAATAGTAGCACTAAAGCACCTGAGTTCTGCATACTGCTCCTCCATGTGTGTTGCAGAGAAATTCTTGTTAGAGCTAAGTCTACCTCCTAAATTCCTGTGTATTTTGCAAACTAATTATAAATGCAAACTTAAAATTGTTCAAAATATGGAAGGAACAAATGATCTTCATAATTGAGACTGAATTGTATATGCAGTGTTATGTTTTCTCCTCCCCACTAAAATACCTGAACCTAAAAGCATCTTCTACTGCATGTTTTGTAGAGATCAACTTTTAACAAAGTTTTAAAAAAAGAACTCCTCTGTATTTTTCAGAGAGAAATATGCAATGATGTTTGATGAGCCTGTGGTGTTGCAGGCTGGCTGGTGGTATGTGGCTTGGGCTCGAGTTTCAGGGCCAAGTAGTGATTGTGGTTCTCATGGTCAGGCCTCCATCACCACTGACGATGGGTAAGATTTTGTTTAGCATTTTTTTGTTGGTAAATGTTTTTACATCTTCAGACGTGAGAGTGCAGTTCACGTTTATTCTCCACATTGAACTATCTGAGATTTAATATGTTATTTCCAGAATTAGAGCAACACTTTTGCACATTTTCCCCATGTTTGCTTGGGTTTCCTTCTGGTGCTCTGGTAGCTCTCTCAGTTCAAAGATGTGCAACTTAGCTGGATTGGCGATTCTGAATTGCCCACCATGTCCAGGGATGTGCAGGCTAGGTGGGTTACCTGTGGGGAATGCAGAGTTACAGGGATAGGGTAGCGGGTGGGATGCTCTTCAAAGGTTTAATGTGGACTCATTGGGCTGAATAGCCTGTTTCCATGCTGTAGCAATTCTGAAATGAGATTTGATTGAGGTATTCAAAATCCTGAGCGGTCAGGACAAAGCAGATAAGGAAGACCTGGTCCCATTGGTAAAAGGACTCCCTCCATTTCACCCAGGTGTACTTCAATACTAAATTGTGTGAATATTTTCATTTTCTACATTAACTCAGTGAACAGAAGATGGTGGTCAGTGATACGGGTCAGTTTCCATTAAGTTCAAGTGAAGTACACCTTTAGAGCAGAGAAAAAGCTTGCATCCTATTTAAGACGTCCAAGCCTGAGTCACTAAGCTTAATCTTTAATCTTTGGTAATGAATATGTTGCTGAAGTTGCAAAGAGAAAATAAAGATTGTTTTAAATGTATTTGTTCTTGTTTCAGAGTTGTTTTTCAGTTTAAGAGCTCCAAGAAATCAAATAATGGGACAGATGTAAATGCTGGTCAAATTCCACAATTGTTATACAGGTCAGTTCATTACCAACAACAAAAACAGAAGTTGCTGGAAGCTCACCAGGTCTGGCAGCATCTGTGAAGAAAAGAATCAGAGTTAATGTTTCGGGTCCAGTGACCCTTCCTCAGAATTCTGATTTTTTTCTTCACAAATGCTGCCAGACTTGCTGAGCTTCCAGCAACTTCCGTTTTTGATCCTATTTACAGCATCCGCAGTTCTTTTGGTTTTTATTTAGTTCATTACCGTACCATTTATAAAGGGAAAAAGCAATCACAATAGCCTTTTTATCTTTTATTAGTGGTAGAATTTGACTGATTCATTTGTTAGAATTGTGGTGAATTTGGTTATCTTTTGTGCAGGTTACCATCAAATGATGGAAACTCAGGAAAAGGAAAACAGCAACCCAGTGAGCCAGTGCATATTTTGAGAAGATCTTTTGCAAGGACTGTCTCCGTGGTAGGTGAACAAATTTGAATGAAAATTATTTTTTGTGTAGAATAGTTTTGTTTGTAGCTAATCCCCAAACCACATAAGATTTTCTTAGTCATACACCAAAGTGCAAACTAATACAGTTTCAAACTGTAATTTTGTTTTTGAAATGGTTCTGACAGCTCCTTGCAGATACCTCATCAAAACTAATTTATTTCAGAGCTATTGGGGAAAATTGGGATTCAATTGGGAATGTAACTTTGATTTAGATTTTTGGTGACAAGACATAGCTTGAAGCAGAATTAACCATGTGTGTTTGTCCTACAAAATCTGATGTAATAAATTTATTTTTAATATTGTTGGCTGAAGGGAGGCTGGCTAGTAAATACTCCAATTTTTGTTTCATTTATTAATTTTGTCATTTGTTTGATAAATTCGGTATTTAATTGGAAAAGTAATTTGGTGACATAATTGTATGAAGTATGTTATACATTTGTTCTTAAAACAAAGTTTGTACAGCCACACAGAACCAAGTTCCTATAAAGTATACTTGCAACACAATCACTTGATTAAATCCATCAATTCTAACTATAGGAATGTTTTGAGTCATTGCTGAGTATTCTACAATGGAGTTGGACAACCCTGGTATTGGGAGTGGAGGAGCTGCAGGGCTTAAAAGGTTTTCAATATACAGCCACTCTGCTGGACTTGGAACGACTAAAGTTTGTTGGGACTTGTTGCCTGCGACTGCTGCGTGTCTACATCTGTGAGATATACCCTATATCAGGTACTGTTAGCCTCGCAAGTAACACATAGTTTGTGCCTTTGCAATTAAATACCAGTTGTTACTAACATTCATTCTGATGTGGCCTTTTACTACTTTAGATATATTTCAAAACAGATATACAGTGAAGGCCTTGAGTTCAGTCAATGTCAGATTGAAAGAATGTATTTCTTTCAGTCCTTTTGAGGATTATGTTTGTATGTAGTATTTGGCCATGCTTAAACAAATAGGAATAATTCATTTAACAGTTCTGATAATTGATACACTTGCATTAAAAATACCATAAATGTGACTAGATCCAAATGTGGTTCTAAGATTTGATTAAAGTGGTAAACCAACAGGCACAAAACATTTGTGAACATATTGCCAGACCACCTGATGTTTCCTATTATCATGTTTGTTTCAGATTTCTAATGTCCACAATATTTACTTATTAGCATGTTAATGTATATATGTATATTCTCTTGGAAATGGTAGCTGCCGCTCTTTTTAGCTAACACATAGCATTAATATTGAATGTTTTGGCTAGAGATTTCTGCTTCTGTATTTGATATGTCCATAATTTTATTTCTTTTAGAAGAGAATAGATGAAAGGTCATAGTCTGGTCTTCATTCCTTTACGTTGTTTGCATTGTATTGTTTAATAACAGGCACTTTAACCTTGAGTTTGAACTTTTTTTTCAGTTTTACATATTTCCTTGGCTACTGTTTATTTTCATTTTTGTTGAATATCTTGTAAAGCAGCAGCTTTACTTCCTTCAGCTGAATTGGTTCTTGTATCATGTCTTGTGGGAGCAGCATTTATCAGTTAGCTGAACAAGTGTTGGTTTTAGACTAGGAGTAAAAGACTCTAGTATCAGACAATTCATACAAAACCATGGCTCTGGTACCCGGTTTCATTGATCATAAATTTTTAGCTTGCTGTAATGTTTAAAAATTAATTTCTGCTTGCAATTTAGCTGTGTTATGGCACTGATTTAAAAGTTTGTTTGAATTTAAACATGCATGTAACATTATCTAATTGAACAGAAGCTAACATGAGCATTTTGATTTAATGGCAGGTGTATGTTGATTTGCTTTTTATTTTGCTTTGCAGTTGGTACGAAAGCAGTGATAGAAGAAACAAGTAAGCTAGCAGAATGTGTTGGAAAGACTCGATCACTCCTGAGAAAGATTTTATCAGAAGGAATTGATCATTGTATGCTGAAGCTTGACAATGATCCCCATGGCTACCATTCGCAACCAAAGACCCTATTGGAAGCTGTTCTTCAGGAATGCCACAACACGTTTACAGCCTGCTTTCATTGCTTTTATCCTACCCCTGGATTGCAATGGGCTTGTCTTTGTGACCTGCTTAATTGCTTAGATCAGGTAAATTGGAGAGGAGATAATTTGTTAATGTTTTAATAGAAGTTTAATTCTGGCTTTTTTGTTTTTTTTGAAAAGAAAATTGGCTCCTCTGATGCTGTCTGACCTAGTTTGTCCAGCTCCATGTGTATTGACTTGGGGGTTTTGGCAAAACTGAAAATATGGTTAGTCTCTTCGAATGAGGATTTAGAACATAAGAACTAGGAGCAGGAGTAGGCCGTCCGGCCCTTCGAGCCTGCTCCGCCATTCAGTAAGACCATGGCTGATCTTTTCGTGGACTCAGCTCCACTTACCCGCGTTCTCACCGTATCCCTTAATTCCTTTATTGTTCAAAAAAAATCTACTTTATCTTTAAAAACGTTTACTGAAGTAGCGTCAACTACTTCACTGGGCAAGGAATTCCATAGATTAGCAACCCTCTGGGTGAAGAAGTTCCTTCTCAATTCAATCCTAAATCTGCTCCCTCTAATCTTGAGGCTATGCCCTCTTGTCCTAGCTTCACCTGCCAGTGGAAACATCCTCTCTACTTCTGTCTTATCTATTCCCTTCATAATTTTATATGTTTCTATAAGATCCCCCCCTCAAACTTCTGAATTCCAATGAATATAATCCCAATCTACTCAGTCTCTCCTCATAAACCAACCCCCTCAACTCCGGAATCAACCTAGTGAACCTCCTTTGCACCCCCTCCAGTGCCAGTACATCCTTTCTCAAGTAAGGAGACCAAAACTGCACACAGTACTCCAGGTGTGGCCTCACCAGCACCTTGTACAGCTGCAACATAACCTCTCTGCTTTTAATCTCAATCCCTTTAGCAATGAAGGACAAAATTCCATTTGCCTTCCTAATTACTTGTTGTACCTGCAGACCTACCTTCTCTGATTCATGCACAAGGACACCCAGGTCCCTTTGCATAGCAGCATGCTGCAACTTCTTACCATTCAAGTAATAATCCTTTTTTACTATTACTCCTACCAAAATGTATGACTTCACATTTATTTACATTGTATTCCATCTGCCAGACCTTTGCCCACTCACTCAATGTATCTATGTTCCTCTGCAAAGTTTCACAGTCCTCTGCACACTTTGCTGTGCCATTCATCTTAGTGTCATCTGCAAACTTTGACACCCTACACGTGGTCACCAACTCCAAATATCTATATAAATTGTAAATAATTGCGGTCCCAACACCTATCCCTGAGGCACACCACTAGTCTAGCTGACTGCCAGCTAGAATAGCACTCATTTATCCCCACTCTTTGCTTCCTGTTAGTCAACCAATCCTCTATCCATGCTAATACTTTACCCTTAACGCCATGCATCCTTATCTTATCTTATCCTGTTTGTTGATCTTCAGTATGCTTCCATTGAATCAATTGAATCCCTACATTGTGGACACAATTCAGCCATCAAGTCCACACCGACCCTCTGAAGAGCAGCCAATCCTGACCCACACCTCTACCCTATCCCTGTAACCATGTAATAAAACCCGAAAGAACTGCGGGTGCTGTAAATCAGGAACAAAAACAAAAGTTGCTGGAAAAGCTCAGCAGGTCTGGCAGCATCTGTGAAGGAGAAAACAGGGTTAACTGGGTTCTGAGGAAGGGTCACTGGACCCGAAACGTTAACTCTGTTTTTCCCCTGTAACCATGCGTTTCCCACTGCTAACCTGCCTAGCTTGCACATCCCTCGACACCATTTAGCATGGCCAATCCATCTAACCTTTAGACTGTGGGAGGAAACCAGAGCCATCTGGAGGAAACCCACGCAGAGATGGGGAGAATGTGCGAACTCCACACACTTCCACTCTTGGGTGGCTTCGAACCTGGGTCCCTGGCGCTGAGAGGCAGTAGTGCTAACCACTGAGCCACCAAGTCGCCCTTGGGTTTCGGTATGAGTTTTTATTCATAGCTTTTTGAGACCCACAGCATCAGGGTTGAATCTTAGCTGCTTTTCCACTAATTTCAAAGTCAGATGGTGATGGGCAGCAAATACTGGCCTGTCAGAAACACCCATTCCATGATATAATTTTGCTTCCTGATGCCCATGCTACCTGATAATTTCAGTGGTCCCTGTTCTCGCATATAGTTTCCCGCCCTTTCAGAACTGCTTTGTTCAGCGTTCTCCCCAACTCTTCTTTGTAACGCCTATCCATGCAGTTAAAGCCCCATTTCCAATCTTTCTTTCCTCTAAAGTGCTCAAACGTATTGCTGCCTCCTAAGTACGTTTTTTTTTGCAATTGCACATTTGAAACTTTTCACACTGGTTGGCACCCCTTCACAATTACCCCTAATCATGATGCAGCTGATCGGTGCACTATCCACTTTCATCCTTCTGATCTTTCCAAAGTCTTCGCAGTCAACACACTATTGTCCTTCACTGCCTTTCTTCCATTGGCTAGCTAAGTGGAACTGCCCATGGATTGGTGGAAAGTGGGAACATCAGAACTGATCTTAAAGAAAACATTCATAACCTTTCTTTTCCAATCTGGTCAATGTGTTCTGCTTTTGAAATTTTTACATCTACCAGTTATTCTCTGTTTATTCATTAGGACATACAAGAGGCTAACTTCAAAACGTCAAGTAGTCGGTTACTTGCAGCAGTCATGTCTGCACTGTGCCACTCTTCAGTCAAGCTGACTACAATCCTTCCCATTGCTTACGATGGTGAAGTGTTGCTTCGGTCATTGGTGAAGCAGAGTAGCACGGAGAATGAATCGGCTATGGTTCACAGATTTGCCCTATTAGTGTCTCATATGGAGAAACTCAGCCAGGTGAGAACAACAGAATTTCCCTTTTGTTTGAAGCATAATAAACATATGTAGCCAATTGATGAGGACTTGCCTAATGCATGATTAATCCATCTTGAATGTGCAGCATCAAATATTTCACTGCAAAATTACTGTGAATCATAATTTATTGCAAAATTACTAATTTTGGTTGTCTATTTTGAAGATAATGTTAAATTGGAAAACTTAGTTTACTGCCTTGTGTTACAGCTTCAAAGATTATGCGAGACATTACCTGAGTTTGAAACATGATTCAGATTCATAGAAGCCCAACCACCGCTTCTGTCCTCTTAACATGCTTTTTAAAAAAAGTTCTGCACCGTCCTACTGTAAAATGTACATAGTGTGAAGAATCTGTTAGAAGGATCTTGAATTGTAAAAATTAAAATTTAGAAAAATCATTTATGAATTAAATCTTAATATACTTCCTCTAGATTGAAGAAAATATCACAAGTATGACCAGTTTTCGAGAAGTTCTTGAAAAGATGTTGGTCATTGTAGTGCTTCCAGTTCGAAAAAGTCTCAGAAGAGAGGTCGAACTCTTCTCTCCTCTCCTAGTATCCAATACTTGTGGTCTCCTTGCCAGTATAGTGAGTGAACTCACTGCATCAGCACTGGGAACTGAGGTAAGAGTCCAGGGCTGAGCTGATTATTTAGAGCAAGTATTTTTGATTAAGCTATTTACAATATACTATTATTACAATTGTACCTGAAAATGACTCTTTTCAATAATGTAACTTATTTCTTTCTGTCAGCTACATTTTCTTAGCTCTGAGTTGGAATGTTGTTTGTCCAAGTGCCACTCTTGGAGTTGCGCATCAGTTTTAATTTCTGTGTTCAAGTGCAGTGGTGAGGGAGTGCTGCATGATGATGGTACAATTTTTTGGATGATATATTAAACAAGTCAATATCTGCACTAGTACAAATGAGAGAGCCTTTGCCACTGGATATGTTAATTAAAAGGTTGTAATTATAAGAGAAGTAATGAATTAGTGAAAGGCATCTTTAAAGGAATTTAGATTTGGATATATAGTGATTAGTAACATACATGTTGCTACAAAAGCAAGTCAGAGATGGCAGGTTAATAATGACCAAAAAAGTGAGGAAGAAAGTTGTCAAGTAATCTGAGCCAATTAACCTTAAGATATTGTAATGCATTAATTTTTCCTCTGGCCCTAGTGAAATTAAAATCGATGAAAGAGATGGGACATTGATGTAAAGCTATTTTGGGATGGGATGGTGTTTCGTATTCCATGGCCTGCTTCTGTGTAGTAAATACTATGTAACAGTTTGCAAGACTAGAGAACCCTGAATTCAGTTTAAAAAAAATTTAGCCTTTTTGAATATGTTGTTTATTTTACCAGGCTGATGGATTGAGTTCCCTTCATTCTATCAAAGCCACACCAAATCGGTTTGTTAAAACCAGTCAAGGACGAAGTTGGAACACTGGTAATGGGTCTCCAGATGCAATCTGCTTCTCTGTAGATAAACCTGGGGTAGTTGTTGTAGGCTATCATGTATACGGAGGAGGTGGCATTCATGAATATGAACTGGAAATGCTGGTTGATGATGTAAGTTTATTAGTTTTATTTTCATACTGAAGTAATGAATAGTTATGTCTTTGAGTAAATGTTATTCCATGGAGCCGATTTATCCCTGGACTTATTATTTACTTTTGACAGAGTGAACACACTGGTGATTCAGCACATTCTCACAGGTGGACTTCCTTAGAACTAGTGAAAGGGACTTACAGCACCGATGACTCTTCCAGTGACACAGCGGAAATCAGATTAGATAAAGCTGTCCCTTTAAAGGTAAGAAGCAATGTTTAAGCAGATGTTCAATGCTCCGTAAAGATTAGATTAAAACATCTAGGTTTTGTAGTAAGTTGTTCTGTGACCCAGCACTTCTACAACTGGGTTTAAACTATTACAAGAATTTTCTACAGATAGTAACAGTAGACCATTCAGTCCATTGATTGCCCTGCCATTTAATATGATCATGGCTGATTGAAAACTTCACTGCTTTTTACCCCTCCTGTCCCCATAACCAATAACGCAGTTGATAATCAAAAAGTTGACACCTTCTGCTTTAAGTATACTCAAAGACTGAGATTCCACAGCTTCCAGGACAGAGAATTCTAAAGGTTCACCAATGTCTGAATAAAAGCAATTCTTCTCCTCTTGGTCCTATATGGCATCCCTGTCATTTTTAAATTGTGCCATCTGGTTCCAGACTTCTCAATCAGTGGAAATATTTCACCTATGTCTACTCTGTCAGTGCCTTTCAGTATTTTTTTAGGTTTTAATGAGATGGCCTTTCCTTCTTTGAAACTCGAGAGTGTTTAGGCCTGGTTTGCTCAACTTCCCTTTATGGAATAGTTCTGCCATTGTAGTATGGTGAACCTCTATTGCTTCCCTCTGTGGCAATAGTTCCTTTCCTGAGATAAGGAGGCCAAAACTGCGCGCACTACTCCAGATGTGACCCATCTCCTATATAATTAAAGCAAGCCTTCACTCCTCTTGCACTCAAATCATTTTGTGATTAAAGGTTAACATTCCATTAGCCTTCCTAACAGTTTGCTTCACTTGCATGTTAACCTTCAGTGAGTTATTGAGAAAGACACCCAGGTCCCTTTACACAGATGCAGTTTTGAATCTCTCTCCATTTAAGCAATACTCTCCACATCTGTTTTTCCTACCAAAGTGGATAACTTCACATCTTACCATATTATATTCTGTTTGAAATGTTGTTGTCCAATCTCTAAGCCTGTCTAAGTCCTCCTAAAAACACCTTCCTCACAACACAGTCTTGCTTTGCTTTTTATCACATGCAATATTTAGAAATGTCACATTTGTTATTTTTTGCTCAATTGCATTTGTGTCTAATCTTCTTTTCCTTGTCAGTTTTTGGTTCTGCTTTCCTGTAATCTAGAAGCTTTACAATGCTCAGATTTATTGCTATTTAGAACATAGAACATAAGAGCCAGGAGCAGAAGTAGGCCGTCCGGCCCTTCGAGCCTGCTCCGCCATTCAATAAGATCATGGCTGATCTTTGTGGACTCAGATCCACTTACCCGCGTTCTCACCGTATCCCTTAATTCCTTTATTGTTGAAAAAAAATCTACCTTTAAAAACAACCAATCCTCTATCCATGCTAATACTATACCCTTAATGCCATGCATCCTTATCTTATGCCGTAGCCTCTTGTGCGGCACCTTGTCGAAGGCCTTTTGGAAATCTAGGTACACCACATCCACTGGGTTCCCATTGTCCACCTTGCTCGTAATCTCTTCATAGAATTCCAAAAGATGTGTCAAGCATGACCTGCCCTTCATGAACCCATGCTGCGTCTGCCCAATTTCTGTCAAGATGCCTTGCTATTTCTTCCTTGATAATAGACTCAAGCATCTTCCCCACTACAGAGGTTAAGCTAACCGGTCTATAATTCCCCAACTTTTGTCTACTTCCCTTTTTAAACAGTGGCGTCACATTTGCTGTTTTCCAACCTGCTGGGACTGCCCCAGAGTCCAGCGAATTTTGGAAAATTACCAGTGCAGCTGCTATTTCTCCCGCCATCTCTTTTAGTACCCTGGGATGCATTCCATCAGGGCCAGGAGACTTATCAATCCTTAGCTCCATTAGCTTGCCCAACACTACCTCTTCCGTAATAATGATTGTTTCCAGGTCCTCACCTACCTTCGTCTCTTTGTCAATTACTGGCATGTTATCAGTGTCCTCCACTGCGAAGACCGATGCAAAATACCTGTTCAATGCCTCGGCCATTTCGTCATATCCCATAACTAAATTCCCCTTCTCATCCTGTAAAGGACCAACGTTTACTTTAGCCACTCTTTTTCGTTTTATATATTTGTAGAAACTTTTGCTGTCTGTCTTTATATTCTGTGCTAGTTTTTTCTCATGGTCTATCCTACATTTCTTTATAGTTCTTTTTGTGGCTTTCTGTTGACCATTAAAGTTTTCCCAATCTTCTAGTTTCATGCTGTTTTTGGCCACTTTGTATGCCTTCTCTTTCAATTTGATAGCCTCCCTTATTTCTTTAGACACCCATGGCAGATTACCCCTTTTCTTAACAGTCCTTCCTTTTCATTGGAATATACTTTTGCTGAGCACTTTGAAAAATTGCTTTGAAAGTCCTCCACTGTTCATCAACTGTCCCACCATAAAATCTTTGTTTCCAGTCTACTTTAGCCAAGTCCTCCCTCATTCTATTGTAGTTCCCCTTGTTCAAGCACAGGACCCTGGTATTGGATTTTATCTTCACACTCTCCATCTGTATTCTAAATTCTACCATACTGTGATCACTCCTTCCAAGAGGATCCCTAACTATGAGGTCATTAATTATTCCTGTCTCATTACACAGGACCAGATCTAGGATAGCTTGCTCCCTCGTCGGTTCCATTACATACTGTTCAAGAAAACTATCACGGATACACTCAACGAACTCCTCCTCAAGGCTCCCCTGACTGAGCTGGTTCGACCAATCTACACGTAGATTAAAATCCCCCATGATAATTGCCGTACCATTTTTACAGGCATTAGTTATTTCTTTGTTTATTGGCCGCCCCAATGTGACGTTATTATTTGGTCGCCTATAGACTACACCTATCAGTGACTTTTTCCTCTTAGAATTTCTAATTTCCACCCAAATGGATTCAACCTCATTCTCCATAGAACCTATATCATCTCTCAGCACCGCCCTGATGTCATCCACCACCTCCCTTACCTTCTTGTCTGTCCTTCCGAATAGTCTGGTACCCTTGGATATTTAACTCCCAGTCGTGACCATCCTGTAACCATGTCTCCGTAATGGCTACCAAATCATATTCATTCGCGTTGATTTGTGCCGTTAACTCATCAACCTTGTTACGAATGCTACGAGCATTCAGGTAAAGTGCCTTTATGCTAACTTTCTTACCCTTGTGATTTCCAACATCTCTAACAATATCTCCTGAGTTATCCTTCCTTTTTGCTTCTTTCATAGTCTGCCTTGAACTTAAACCCTCCTGCACACATGCTAACCTGCTGCTTACCTTTTTATTTACCATTATACTCCCTGTTGTTTTCCCTTTCCTTTCCCCCCAACTCACTAGTTTAAAGTCCTAGTGACCACCCTATTTATCCTTTTCGCTAGAACACTGGTTCCAGATCGGTTCAGGTGGAGACCGTCCCATTGGTACAGATCCCTCCGGGCCACTTTATTAGCCTTTTACTTTATTCTTATACAATCCCTAACTCAATTTGTCAGCTGCGATTGCATGACCTTTTTTGAGTTTCTGCGCCTTCAAGAAATATATAGTTGTTGTAATTGTTCTTTCAAGACTTTCATTGTCCATGTCCAGTCATGACTTTAATGTATTTTTCCAATTCAGGTCAGCCAACCTGTGCCTCAATCTTTCATAATTTCCCTTATTGAAATTTAGCATCCTTGCTTCAGATTTCTTCACTACCTCATTTCCAAACATGATGTAAAAGTATTATATTGTGGTCGCTCATCCCTCAAGGTTCTTTTACAACAATTTTTTTTGTTAGCTTGTTTTATTGCATTATACTAGATCCACAAAGGCCTGTCTTCTAGTTGGCTTTGAAAAATGCTGTTGAGAAAACCATCTATAAGATGGTCCAGAAATTTGTCCTTCATAGCCTTGGTGCTCAAATTTAGCGCTAGATTTCTACCATTAATGTACTTTGTTCTTTGCTTTGTGTTTTCTGCATAATGCCTGCTGAATTGATTGACATTCCAGGAAAATGTCAAGTATGCAGTACGTCTAAGGAACTATGGAAGTCGGACTGCAAATGGAGATGGAGGAATGACTACAATTCAATGCCCAGATGGTGTAACCTTCACTTTCAGTACTTGTAGCCTCAGCAGTAATGGAACTAATCAAACTCGAGGTCAGATCCCTCAGATACTTTACTACAGGTAAGAATGTGCAAAGCCTGTATTTGTTTCAGGTTTCCTAGCCAGCTGATAAAGTAATTCAGAACCATTGTGTTAATGAAACAGTATTACTAAACAGATTCCAAAAACCAATAAATATCCTCTAGCATATAGCATAAACATAATATGACCTGGCATTCTAGCCCGTTGTCTGTTAAGAAATACTAAAACATGAAAAAGCCTACTCCCAAAAGACTAAAGGATGCAGCAGTTTGTTTCCAGGTTACTGATCTTTCCAATCACCATCTAATGGAGCCATCTTTCTAGTTGAGATCTTATTGTAGTCTAAAGAAACCCAACGAGAATATTTGTAAAAACTGAGCTTTATATTTGTGTACACTTGGGAAACTGTAATTCCCAAACTACTTCTAAATTCTTCTATTTAGTGCTCCAGTGTGATTCTCTGTGATGTCTTCAAAAATCCCCACAAACATTTTGCCACGGGAGGAAGGAATTTTCTCCGTTAGGAGCTTGGGGTACTCCATTTATAGAAAATAAATGCGGCATTTTGTTCTTGCATATCGTTGTAAAAGATTATTATTAATATACTGTAGATCTGTAAAAAGAACAACAGAAAGAATGGATGTAAGTGAGGCCAATGTACAAATCTGAGAAGGAAAAGGGATCTAAAATCAAAATACAAAATGCATGTGTGATGTTGAAGATCTGCCAGTTATAGGCAGGGGAATATGATGGATTCTGCACTAAATACCACATTTTGGTGTGCTCAGTGCTAACCTTGAATCCCGAGTTTCCGAACAATCCTAAACTCAGTAATAACTACATTGTTAATTCATTGAAGATAATCAGTTGAGCTCATAACATGGTTCATTTATACCTGCTGGAAGCAACATATATTCATACACAGGATCCACTCTCTGCAAAGAAAATGAAGATGTTCAGGTTTCGTGCCTCTTTTTGAATTAGCCCAGGAGCTTGAGGAATCCGTAGTTCCCTATTGCTTTTTCCCATGCAGCGCCTCAGCCAAAGTTGATATACCAATAAACCAGCATCTTTTCTCCTGTGGTATAAATTGTTGTGATTATTCAAAATTTGGCAATCTTGCATTTGTCTTGAGTGCAAAATATGAAGCATCAAATTGTGTCTCTCTCTTTTCAGCATTATTCTTTCAATCAAATGTTAATCTAGCCATTCCCATTTTACAGGAGCCCTGCTGTGAATAATTGGAGTATCTAACAAAGATCTGAAGTTACTAATCTCCTTATTCACACCCGAAGTCAGCATAATGTCCAGTAGAAAACGGAAATACTTTTCCTGAAGATTAAGTTTTTTAGTAACCTACTAAAGTATAAGCCTCCAAAAGGAAAGGTTAAATCAAGATAGGAGATGAACTTAAAGAAATAAGCTTGAGAGGCAGGATGACATGTCAAGAGAGAACAAAAAAAGTTCTATTTTCAGAATTCTCCATACTGTCATTCCATATGGTCTCTACATTATCATTTCACCACTACTGTTTGCACAGTCTTTAATCCTTAATATTTGTATATGACTGACTTTTCTTAATATTATCTTATTTACTAATGAGGAATTTCTTCTCCACAAACTTCTCTTTGTATCTATTGACTCTTCCAAACCCCATTTCACACCAGTTCCCACCTTTTCTAAGTGTAACAAAGCAGGTGTTTTGAATAAAGTTCATGGAATGATATATAATATCAAAAAGTTATGAAAAATTTCAGTGTTTTCATCACAGGTCCTATATTTGTTAGCTGGTCACTGCTAGGTGCAATAAGGATACAGTGCATCCATGCATTTGTAAGATGAGTAATTATTAGGCTTGTCTGGTCTCTGCCCTGTGTTTTTGAAGTGACTTTTGAATGAATCTCAGATTAGGTTGATAGATTTTAACTTCATCTAACTAAAATAGACCTTTGCATATTCAAATAATTCACATAATTTTCACTGTAGCTTGTTTCTGTTTGTAATCACTGGAAGGCCGGGGAGGAGTGGATAGAGGAAATGTATCCCTTTGCTCAAAGTTGACTCTGCTTTGGATGTGGTTCCATAAATATGAACTAGTATCAATCTGTTGCCATAGTTTGAGACCACTTAACATGTTGACACAATTGGTTTGTTGGTGAGAATTTTAAATTTGATGCAATACAATATACTATCCTTTTATTGTCATGTGTACTCCTTTGTAGGAATACAGTGAAAAACTTTTACAGTGCCTGCCTTCTTTTGGCAACATCTTAGGTATAAGGACCTAGGTACAATTCTTGGATACAGCAGAGGAACAAAAGTAGTTGCATTACTTAGAGCTGAAAAATAAGTTAAAAAAAGGAAAATATTAAAGGGTTAACATTCAGTAAGGTAAGGCATTTTAAATAGATGTCAGTGTAGCAGCTCTATACCAGACCCCAGTCCAACAGCCACCCCCTTTCCACTGTAAGCCCCATTCTGCTCACTACTAGCACTCAGCTGCTTTAAGGTAAGTGGCAGGATTGCCCCCTCACACTGGCATTGGGTAAGGGTGGGTCAAAGCCATGTAATGAGACAGCAGAGAATACAGTTAAGGCTACAAGAAGAGTTCCAAATGAATTTTCTTTTTTTTTAAGGCGTGCTTGGAAGGTTGTTGTGGGAACATTTGAATAACTGGAATGATATGGCGGCAAAGAGATGGTTGAGTGTTATAGGATTAATATGTTGAGGTATGGGTGAGGTGGGCAATATTTGTGGTAGAAATAGGTATTCCTTTCATTAGTGTCCAAAGCTCAGTTCAGGATTAAACGCAATGAGGTGCACCTTGGTTGAACCTCAGAAAATAGCTTGGGGATTAATGGCCCGAGTTTGCAGTCGAGAGTGCTTTGGTCTTACTAGTTGGCGAGCATTCTGGTTGATTTTCAGGAAGGCAGCAAAATAGTACAACAGTGGTGGATATCTCAATTAATTGACATCCATACATTGCATTTACAATTAAAGAGACTGAGCACCAATTCAGAGTGGGATCACTAGCATTTCCCATCCACTCCCACATGATGTAGCAATTTTAACAACTTGCCCCATGACTCTTATCAGCTATCCAAATGGAGATGTGACCTGAGACCTTCAAGCCAAGATAGATCTCTAGATAAACTCAGCCATTTTCAAGTTAACATATATTTGCTGTTGCAGTGTTGACTGAGAATTTTTCCTAGATTTTTATTTCTTCCCTGTGAACTATCGGTAACATTTGTTTGATGGTAAATCATTTAATATTAAAATTAGCTGTGATCACAGTAAGGATTTAAAAAAAAACTTTACAGGCATTTTCTGGGCTGTGCTAAATGTCCTATTCCATGCAGTGTCTGATTAGTCAAATTATCTAATTAAATAAATCAGGTAATTATGTACGGAGAATTAAATCTAATAAATATTTCATGCCAATAATAAGTGCCAATTTAACTTTTAGAAGTGAGTTTGATGGAGATCTACAATCACAGCTGCTTAGCAAAGCAAATGAAGAAGATAAAAACTGCAGCCGGGCCCTTTCTGTTGTCTCTGCAGTTGTTCGTGCGGCTAAGGATTTGTTACATAGAGCCCTGGCTGTAGATGGTATGTATGTATTTTCTTAAATCAGTCTAACTAGAAGTTTGTTCTTTTTAGAGCATGGTAGTTGAGCTGACTTGAAGGAAATGAGTATGGCAGCTTCCAGCTGTTCTTTGTTAAACTGGTATTGGCAGGCTTGATGGGCATATTTTGCTGATCATGAAGTTTGAAGCATTGTATATTAGCCATGTTCCAATAATAGTAAAAAATTTGAAGCAGTTACTTTTATGCTATTGTTGAAGAAACTGATATAGTTTGGGTGGTGGAGGGAGGCAGGTGGGGAATGGGTTTTGGCAGTGCAGGCCGTCGTCGTCTTTAAAAAAAAAAAAAATGTTAATGTTTAGCTCCCTAAAGTTGTCAGGATAGATAAAAAGGGTGAGATGTTGTTGACCTCAACGAAAATAAATTCAGTGACTTTGATATCTGTACATGTGCATATTCCAAGAATTAGGTACTCAGTTAACTGTGCAACAATTCCGAATATTTGTCAGCAATGCTTTGGCGGAGAACTCGGCAAACCTCACCTTAATGGCAGACCTACCTTGGGTGTTGTCCAGTTCACGAGGGTTTTGATTGTGTTTATTCCCTGATCTTATTTTGCTCATGCATTTGCTACCACTCTGTCACATCTGGGGAAATTAGCTGAAGTGTATTATTCTGTCTTGACTTTGGAACCTTGTGTTCCAAACTGACCTCGTCACCTTTTTCCAGTTATTGTACTATTTATTTTTCTCTGTTACGAAGAGATGAATCAAATAGCTAGGTGGTCCATAAAGTGGACTTTGATGTAGCCAAATAGAGAATGATCTCTGCCGGATTAGCCTTTGTATTTCTAAAAGTGACATTGTCTCAGTATTATACTTGTAGGTAAATTTGTGCATTTGAAGACAATCTATGTTTTTTTCCTAATTTCAACTCTTGTACCTAACCTGGAGAACTTGCAATTGTTTGGTACAAACTTGATTAAACATGCTTTTATCCTAGTGTTTATGAATTTAATATTAAGTAAATTCAAAGTAGCCTTTGTATATCAGCTGCCACTCCACTTGCCAGCTCAGTTTGTTACGGAAACCAGAATTTCTTGTTTTAAGGTGATTTGCTGTAATCAAGAATTTGGTTTGCTGATATTAAAGGTTGTTCATTGAACTGGGGATCTAATCAGCGCTACCTTGTGAATTTTCCGAGAACAGCATTTCACAAAGGCAAAGTGTGGACTACCTGCTTGTTCCCTTTGGGGCAAGCTAGAATGAATACAATTTAAATAGATTTGACATAAGCTATTGAGGTTTCTTTTTCATCACACCTTGCTTTTAATTATGCTGATTTGGGTAATACAGTCTTCGTCTTTCCACTGAACAAATAACTAAACTATAATGCACCAGCAGAAATATTCATCACAATCATCTTATCTGTCACTTGTCGGGGAACAGGGCTGGGCTGCAGAGAAGCAAGAAGGCTGTATAGCTAACAGAGATATTTCTGTGCGCTACCTAATTATGTGATGCTATGTATTAAAATTTGCAACTGTTCTGATTCGTTCACAAAAAAAATGCATAAAGCAATATATGTTTTTATTTAGCGGAAGATATTCCAGAATTACTCAGCTCTTCCAGCCTGTTATCTATGCTGCTTCCACTTATTTTGGCTTACATTGCACCAGTGGCTGCTAATGTCCCAAAAGTAAGTAATTTTTTCTAGACATTAATGCTGTTTTTTTTTAAAAATTATGTGCTTACACTCATTCTCAGTTATTTCTTTAAACTTTATGAAGTGCCCTTTTTTGTTTTTTTTAAAAGGCTGCCGTTGAAGTTTTTGGTCTTGTACAGGAGCTTCTGCCTCCAGTTGCAACGTTGAACCAAAAATATGCCCCACCTGCCTTTAATCCTAATCAGTCGACAGACAGTGCAACAGGCAATCAACCTGAACAAGGCCTCTCTGCTTGTACTACTTCTAACCATCATGCTGTAGTGGAGAGTGACCATCCTTACAAACCAGCTTGTGTCAGTCAATTAAAGGTACGTTCAAATGAGATTATTACAGTATGCAGATATGTTAAATAAAAACAAAATGTCTAATCATAGAATCCCTACAATATGGAAAAAGTCCATTCAGCCCATCAATTTCACACCGACCCTCTGAAGAACATCCCAACGGGACCCAGATCCAGCCCAGTAAGTCCACATTTACATGGTTAACCCATCTAGCCTGCAAATCCATGGATGCTACGGCCAATCCACCTAGCCTGCATATTGTTGGACTGAGAGAAAACCAGAGCACGTGGGGGAAGCCCACACAGACACAGGGAAGATATGCAAACTCCACACAGTCTCCCAAAGCTGGAATCGAACTGCAGTCCCAGACGCTGATGCGACACTTCTAACCACTGACCCACTGTGCTGTTATCTTCTAATTTAAAAACAAACTAATTATGTCAGACCTTTTCAGCTAATGGCGGCTTCATTTAGGGAAGAAGTTAGCTTAAAAAAAATTGGTCTTGTATCTTTTTCAAAAAAGTCTGTTAAATGGGATTGAGAGTTACATGAGATAACTGAATGAACGCTGTTAATTAGATGCTGAAAGGTGGTTTCCTTTGACTGGAGAATCTAGTTAAGAGTCCGAGTCTCAGAGTAAAGTATTGGGCCATTTTGCAGGGCCATGAGTAATTTCTTCTCTGAGGGGTTCTGAATCTTTGTAATTCTTTACCCAAGAATCCACTCGATGTTGAGTCATTAACGATAGCAGTTTTCCATGTGCTGAGAATTTTGGCCTCTTCGAAATTGAGACTTGCAAAAGTGGAATTAAGGTTGAAGGACAGCCATGGTCTTAGTAAATGATGTAACAGATTTAAAAGGTCATACAGACTCCTGCCCAGATTTCTCATTCTTAAGTATCTAATATAATGGTTCCTGACCTAATGAGATTTTAGAAATTCATAAATACAACCCATTAAGTGTTTGGTAAAGAATGTAAAGCTAACTAGACACTGGAAGTTTCACTTGATTTATCTTGGGGGAAGCGTTGGTAGAAAGAGTACATTTGTATAATCTTGCTTCAGATTGCACATGCTACTCTAGAAGAGTGCACTTGATATGCTAACTGACTATTAGTTCATCTCACCTGCGAATTTATTAATAAAATACAAAGTCTTGTGTTGAGCATGTATATTGACCAAAGGTTGGAGACTGCTCAAATACATTTTGATTAAAGTGCTTATGAAGGCAATTGATGCATCCACTTGGTTTAGACTAAAATAAAGACACTCGAATAACAAATGAATGGCTGCCAGTTGAAAGATTAAAATAACAGTGTTTGTCTTCTAGGTAACTTTTCCAGATTGTGTCAGGTGGATGACCATCGAATTCGACCCCCTGTGTGGTACTGCACAGCCAGAGGATGTGCTTCGTTTGCTGATTCCAAATAAAAGTTTCCAAAGTTCAGGATTTGGGCCTAAAAATACAAGCCACGATGGTCTAAATTCATGGATAGAATTGAAAAAATTTTCTGGTTCCACTGGATGGCCAACTACAGTCCTTGTTTTACCAGGTATATTGAGGAAGAAACATCTTCTATTTTTAACATATGTTTTAGTTGTGCTATGTTTTACCTTTATTTTTCCTGAGTACTGCTGTATTTTTTGCGAGTTCAAAAGCATGAGTGTGCAGGTTTGACCACAGTAGTAGGATATAGCCAGTGCCTGGGTGAATATGCATTGATATGATCAGGGTTTGAGTAAAGATTTGTAGCTTGGCTGCTGGTTGTAGATGTTGGTGTGTTCACTGAGCTGGGAGGTTTGATAGCAGACGTTTCATCCCTTACAAGGTGACATTCTCAGTGCTGTGGAGCCTCCTGCAATATAACAGAGCCTCAGGAACTCCTCATCAAGACTGAAATAATATCTTGCCAAATTCTTATTTGCATTTTGACTGGTTCTGAAAGCCTAGCACCACAATTGGAGACTACTTTTGTGACGTAGGCTGTTCAAAAGTATTAGTTATTAATGCTTCAGTGACATTTCTGTGGCCAAAAATAGACACTTGATTTTAAAAGCTCGGATGGACTTGAATAGCTTTTGAGGTATTTTGTTCTATGACTTTTGACTTTTGTCACTTTTCAAGGACTTGTCTCCGGTATATACGATATGTTTAGTTAAAAATGTAGCGGTTGAACCATGAAATGTGATGGAGTAAAAGCAAGCATTTTATATCTTTGAGGCAGAATGTTGTTTAGCATAAGGCAATATTTGTAAAGCTAGGATGTACTCTGGAATGAAAAATTACAGGAAAATAAAAACAAAATGAACTCCTTCATATGCAGGATGTTAATACTGCCATTACATTTACCCAAATTCCTACAGAAATGTTAGAATTTAATGCAACCCTTTACTTTGGTTCATTTCATTATTTAATGAATTCTTAACATGGCCACGATTATGGGGAGGCTATGTATTATTCCTAAATTAGTAATCCAGAGACCCAAGTAATGTTCTAAAGACCTAGGTTCAAAGCCGACCGTGGCAGATGATGGAATTTGAATTCAGTAAAAATCTCATGAGTCTAATGATGCCCATGAAACTGTTATCGATTGTCAGAAGCACCCATCTGGTTCACTAATGTCCTTTAGAGGAAGGAAAGTGCCATCCTTGCTTGACTCTACACCCACCACAATGTGATTAACTCTTAACTGCCCTCTGGTCAATTAGGGATGGGCCATAAATGCTGACCTAGCCAGCGATGCGCCCCCCCCCACCCACCCAACTTTCTTCTTTGATCCCAGCAATTGAAGTTGAATGCAAATCAAGCATTGTGTATGACTGTGGTATCTTAATATATCTCTTGGTTAAGTGTTTTGAATTAATATTCCTTAAATAACTTTAGAAAGATGCAAAAACAATTCTCTTGAGAAACTGAATATGGAAAAGCCTTTCACTAGAAAACAAATATTGTGTTCAGTAAAGATTATGCAAGTCATGTTGGAAAAAGATCTTCTATTTAGCAAGTTTTTCTTTAGATTTGTATGTTCATGTCATTTTTCCAGGAAATGATGCTATTTTCTCTTTGGAGACTGCATCAGACTACGTAAAAGACGAGAAGGCCTGTTTTTATGGTTTCAAGTGTGTTGCTGTGGGTTATGAATTCAGCCCTGGACCTGACGAGGTAACTTTTTTACAGTGCATCTAATAGAATATTGTACAAGAGATTGTATTATGTTATAGAGCACTTCACACCTTAAAACTTTTGTGTTGTAGAAATCAAACTTGAGCTTGCGTTGCATTATGCAAAGTAGCAAAGGCTGTGTTGAAATAATGCTAGTTACCAGATCAAAGTGGGGAAAAATGTTCTTAAATAAGTTAGAATTACTTACTTAATTACTAAAACTAACGTTTAATTGAGTATTTCCCCATGTCCTGCATATAATAGTCCAATAAACCAAAGGGAGACTACTATTACTATTTCTTCAAATAGTCTATAGGTAAAAACAGGCATTCAAAGGATAGGCACTTAATTTAAGGACCCCAATAGCTTACATAATAAAGCATAAAAGCCACATTTGAAAACATTTGAAAAATTGAAATACACACAACTTCAATCTACCAAATCCTCTTTTTTTTGGAAGCTTCAGCAAAACCTGTATATACATTTTCCTGTTTGGTTCTCTGCCTTGATATTAGTAAGGAGAGCTGAGAAACATGCAGCTGTATTGTACTCCAAGTGAGGGCAGTTTGAAATGGAATGGGACTGTGGACTCGAGGTATTGTTGACCGGGCTGACTGCTGATGCGAGAGACAGGGAGGTTGGCATTAATGCAATTAATTAGGTACTGATCATAATTGAAGCTGATTCTACAACGTTGGAAACATTTTTACAGTACACAGTGGGCCTTTTGATGCCAGTCCCTGTGATACCAGTAATTTGTAAGTTTCACTGAATTCATAAATGGCTCATTCTATGGAGGTCCCACTCTGATATTAAATTCATTGTTTACTTCCAAGTTATTGTTTCAGGTTTTGTTTTGGCCTATTTATCTTGAGTGGTGTACATTTTTCACATTGACCTATATGTACATTAATGGCCAGCTATCGTTGAGAACCGGGCAGATTTCCCAATGCACCTGACTCCACGGGAATGGCTCAGGAAATTGAATTTTCTCATGGGCAATTTCCAACCCCCTGATAAAGCTGCTTTAAGTGGGAGAATTTGGAGTTCTCCAACACAATTAATAAAACAATAAGATGAAGGAGCAGATCCCATCCAGTCTGCTGCATAATCAGTGAGATCATGACTGATTTGATAATCCTCAACTGCACTTCCCTGTCATTTCCCTATAACCCTCGATTCCCTGACTGATTTAAAAATCTGTCCATCTCACCCTTGAATATACCTAATGAGCCAGCCTATACAGCCCTCGGTAATAGAGAATTCCACAAATTCACTTCCCTCACTATCCTCATCTCTGTTCTGACTGCTCCTTTATGCTGGGGTTATGCCCTCTACATAGTAGTTGTTAGAGGATTAAGAAACTCCTGAATAATTAAACTGAAGTCAGACTCAGAACTGACATCCTCACCGTCAAAACCTCCCAATTCCCCAAAGACTCGTCCAATTGCCTAGTGCCCTAATCTCGCCCACCTGTCACTTTATCCATTAAACACCCTCCTCCCCCCCCACCCCCCCCCCCAACCCCCCCACCCCCCCACCAAACTCACCTCCAGGACATTTATTGGCTTGTGACACTACTCTTACACTGGGTGGACTTTTTCCCTAGTTTACGTGATGGGTGCTTTTGGGACAGGCCAGGCTTGGATGTTTGATTGGAAAAATTGTCAATAAATTCGTAGTTTAACAGAGGATTACAATTTGTCAGATCTATTCTGATGGTCATCTGAATTTTTGGGCTATAATGTCAGCAATCCATTGAACCTCAACACAGCATTGAAATCTTGTGTGACTTGGAATAGGTGTGTATGACTGTTAAACGTGTGAAATTCTCAGTGATACATTACAAAGGCAAAGTTTCTTCAAATCTGTCTTGAGCTTGGAATGCTTCAAGATCAAAGAGCCAACAGTTTTCTGCACTTTCTCTTTTACTCGTTTACACTCTTGGCTTGGTGTTTATCTGCACTGTCACTACATGTTGTAATGTTGCTTGCCTAAATAAACATAGTGTAGTCCTTTTGAATTTTAACAATTGAAAAATATACCAGTATGTAGTTTTATATTACTCTTCCCTCAGATTTATTTTGCTGCATTCAGTAACCAAAAATGAGTTTAAATGTAGCTTACTAATGTGACATGTTAATAATTTCTTCTAAGTTCAGACTATTTGGATAATTTTCTTTAGATTCTTGGATACTAAAGGTACTAACGAAACAAAATTGTACTGTCTGACCCTTTTTCAAAATCGCATCTCTCCTTTGTTCTTGACAAAATATCCTGCTTCAGCGCATTGTACTTTGTTAATCACAAGTACGTTTATACTTGGAATACAAAATTAGTATATGGTAAATTGTAAATATTGGTTCAGTGGTGATGCGCTTGTTGCCAAGTCAGAAAATTTGAATGCCGTGTACATGAATCGCAAAAATGATCACAGGTGCATGAAATAATTTGGAAAAATCAATTAAAATTAGTCTTTATTCCAAGGAGGATAGATTATGAAAGTAGATAAGTCTGTATAGGTATTGCTAAGGGATCACCCAGAATACCAAGTACAGTTTCAGCCCCTTTACATAGAAGGGGACATACTTGCATAGGAGGCTGTTCAGAGAAGATTCACTAGGCTGATTTCAGATCATAAACTCAGTTTTCCTAAAAGTTCTAAAGGCAGACCACCACTTTGGAGAAGTAAACTAAGTAGTCTGCTCATGCTTTTGTGATAATGCTGTCACTGTAAAAAGGTTATTTTGTCCTGGGTTGTTTTTATTTTTGAAGAGGTTGTAAAGGTAGAGGTAATGAAGTGGCTACGAGCACTGGCCTAAGTCAATAGGTTAAGAGGCCTTCAGGTTTCTTTTAAAGCAGTTGTAACAATGGAAGGGAAGTGGCCAGTTCTCCCAGACCAGGCTTTCTATTTTCTTTAAGCTGTAACAGTTAGAAGCTGTTTGGGTCCTAGAAGGGTTGCAATCTTCAGTAAATGATTCCTAACTGTGACTTTTTCTGAAATCTGTCTTTTGTGTTGTTCCCTCCTGGATTGGGAAACTGCACATAAGAATCTGTGTCTGATTTTCCTTTTTGCCAAGAGTTGTATTCAGGGGATGTTACTATATTGGAATAGTTAATTAGTAATGGGTACTGTATCTATTATTCATTTAAGTTTGCCACTAATAAGTTACTCTAAATTCCTCTTGCGTTTATATTTTAACTATAGTGTTGAAATAGATAGTGTTTTGCTTAACATCGGATGCTTTGATCAGTTGCACCACAGCTGGAACAAGCACTTCACATCTACCTTTAAAATAAGGAAAGATTAGGGTCTAGGCTACCACCTTAAACTATTGTGAGGAGGGTCTGGACCGGCTCATAATATTCATGACTCCCGTTATTGTTTTTTCCATTGTAACTTTAACTTGCTAAAACCAAACACGTATTAAGAAATTTCTGTTTTGCAGGGAATCATACAATTAGAAAAGGAATTGGCGTATCTTGGAAGTATATGTGCAGCTTCACTAATGAAAAAAGACCTTGCGCTTCCTGTGGGTATGGATCTTTACTTTTGTCAGTCGAAGTGTATAATGATGAGCGTTTTGCACAAAATGTTGTGTTTTGCTGGATTGTAGGTCATTGCTGAATGATGATCTTTAGGTATCTGTTGATTACTTTTGAAATCTTTCAGTTTATCCAATACTAATAATGAAAGCTAATTGCAGCAAAAAAAGAATTGTGCTGTTGTTCTGTTAAATCATCTTTGTTTCGACAGGCAATGAGTTGGAGGAGGATCTTGAAATTCTTGAAGAATCAGCTCTGCAGGTGAGCTGTCAGTTGTTATAGTTAAATTACTCATCATTTTTCATAACCGTACTCACGTGTTTTTCTCTTGCCAGGTGTGTAAAAACCATGCTGGTTTATTAGGAAAGGGCCTTGCTTTGTCTCATTCACCAACTATTTTGGAGGCACTAGAAGGTAATCTTCCCCTCCATCTGCAGAGCAATGAGCATTCTTTCTTAGAAGACTTTGTTGCGTGCTTACCTGGGTCTAGTGGTGGACGACTTGCAAGGTAAAACCTAGGTTTGATGTATAAAATTACTAAGACCTATGTCTGTGTCTTTGTTAAAATTTGTACGTAAATTTTGCTACTGCTTCTTTCATGTTGTCAGGTGGCTTCAACCGGATTCTTACGCAGATCCTCAGAAAACCTCCCTGATATTAAATAAGGACTACATCAGATGTGGTTGGCCTGCTACCATCACAGTTCAGACAAAGGACCAGTATGGAGATGTAGTTCATGTTCCAAACCTGAAGGTATGAAGTAATTTGGAAATGGCTGTTCAAAGAAACAACTTAATGTAATAAATTTGTGTACATAAGTTAGCTTTAATTTATAAATGTATATTTGGGAGCATTCAAAATATAAGTGGATCATACAAGTGAGCAGGAAATATCTCCGTTCGGGAAATAAATTCCAAATTTTAGTAGTGAATTTTCTTTTGCTGTATAATCCAGCGATGCTTGAAAATTCGGTGAATAGTGCCTTTCCTTAAGCACCTTTATTTTTCTTTGTGAAATGCATTTTGTAAAGATGACATTAGGTGGCTAATGCACTACTGCTATACTACAGAAGATTTTAGGTTCTCGGAAACATTCTTTAGTATCAAGGCTTCCGAGTCACCGTTTCTGTTTGACTCGAAGTTTCTTCCTGCAGAAAGCCTCTGTTTTGTCAAGGAAAGTTTGTTCCAGTGTAGTTCGCTTGTGTTCCAAGGGCAGCATGGTGGCTCAGTAGTTAGCAATGCTGCCAGGTGTACAGTGCCAGGGACCCGGGTTTGATTCCAGCCTTGAGTGGCTTTCTGTTTGGAGTTTGCATGCTCTCCCCACATCAGGTTTCACCCTGGTGGTCCAGTTTCCTCCCATAGCCCAAAGATCTGCTGGTTAGGTGGATTGGCCATTCTAAATTTCCCTGTTGTTTTCAGGGATGTGCAGGCCAGTTTGGTTAGCTATTGTAAATGTGGGGTTATGGGGAAAGGGTGCAGTGCTGGGTCTGGATGGGATGCTTTTCGGATGGTTGGTGCAGACTTGATGGGCTGAATGGCCTCTCTGCACTGTAGGGATTCTGTGAACATAAGATTAAGAAGCAGGAAAAGACTATTTGGTCATGTCAGATGACTCTGCCATTCATTAAGCTGTGACTGATTTAGTTACAAGAAGATATAAATGGAATGGTTAAATAGGCAGATAAGTGGCATATGTAATTTAACCTCTCAAGTGTGAAGTGATAAACTTTGGAAAGAGTAATTTGACAAAGTATCCAATGATCGCATGACATTAGGAAGTTATGTGGAACAAAGGACATGTTTGTCCATAGGTCACTGAAGGCAGAAGGGCATGTTAGTACGGTGGTTGAAAAGGCTGTGGGACACTTACCTTTATCAATCGATGCACACATTACAAAAGCAGGGAAGTCCTGTTAAAATTGTTTGGATCTTCAGTGAGACCACAGCTAGAGTACTGTGCAGTTCTGGTTGCCACATTCATGGAAGGATGTGAGTGCAGTGGAACAGATGCAGAGGGGTTCCACAAGGATGCTGCCTGGGATGGAAAACTTAAGTAATGAAAGTTTGGATAGGCTTGTTGTTTTTGTTGGAGCAGAGATGATTGAGGAATGATCTAATTGAGCTGTACAAGATTGAGATGTATGGGAGTGGATAAGGTGCAGCTGTTCCCCATAGTTGAAGGGTCAGCCACAAGGGGGGCACAGGTTCAAAGCGATGGCAGGAGGTTTGGGAGCATATGAGAACTTTTTTTACCCAGAGAGTTGTAATGGTCTAGAATGTGCTGCCTGGGAGAGTTGCCACATATCCTTTTTAAAAGTACCTGAATGAGCACTTGGCATGTCATGACATTCAAGGCTATGGACCAAGTGCTGGTAAATGAGATTAGGTTGAAGGTCAGGTATTTCATTGAAATTTACAATGCAAGGTAACAATATAACTATATCTAATCATGGTAATCTTCAACTCGCACATTAGTTTCCAGTTCTTTATTTATCAAGGCAATCTTTAGCAAGCCTGTAACAAACTCAACGGAAATTATTGGAGAAACTCAGCAGGTCTGGCAGCATCTGTGGAGAGAGAACAGTTAATGTTTCGAGTCCAATGATCCTTTTTAGTTCTATTCCTTTTCAGTTAACAATCTACTTCCCTTGAGTACTTCAGTTGAACTTGGCTCTATCATACAGACCTTAACCGTGGCTTCATTTTAAAAAAAAAATGGTTTTTGCTTGTGTCACTTTTGCATTTCTTAACTGATTTCTTTAAATCTTTGCCCTCTTATTCTCTCCTTCTGTAAGTGGAAGCAGTTTCTTCCTGTTTACTCTGTGCAGATCTCTCATGATTTTGAATCCCTCTATCAAATCTCCCCCAGCCTTTTATTGTCCAAGGAAAGATGTCTGAAATTCTCCAGTCAGTTTTCATAACTGAAATTCCTCATCCTTAAAACCAGTCTTGTGAATCTTTTCTATGTTCAGTCCAACGCCTTTGCGGCTCAGAACTGGGCACAATACTCCAGCTAAAGCCAAATTAATGCCATTTATGGGTTCAGCATAATCCCCTTGGTCTTGTATTCTATGCCCCTACTAATACAGCTTAAGACATTACAGGCTTTCTTGATCACACTCTCAGCCTGTCCTGCCATCTTTAATGACTTATACATTCAGGTCTTTCTACACCTGTACATCCTTCAGAGATAAACATTTTATTTACTCATCTGTCCATGTTCTTTCTTTCTTTACCAAAATTATTTCCTTCATATTTTCATGCATTGAACTTCATCTGCCACTGTCTGCCCATTCCACCAATTTGGCTATGCCCTTTTGGGGTTCTTTACCATTCTCTCAGTTTATGATGCTTCCATGTTTGTATCACCTTCAAATTTTGAAACTATGCCCTGTACAGTAAGGTCAAGGTTATTGCTATATATCAGGAGAATCAAGGGACTTAAAACTCCTGGCTGGGGATCTCCACTAACCTGCCACCAATCCAAAAACCATTCATTAACCACAACTGGCTGAGTGACAGGAAGCAGTATTGGATCCAGGTTGCTATTGATACTTTTATTTCATGAGCTACAACTTTACTTGCGTATATTGTATGGCATTAAGTATACCTTTTGGATGACAATGTGTAGGGCACAAACAGAAATGCCATTTTCAAACCTTCCTGTTGGCTCTTCAAAAAGCTCCAAGTTAGTTAAATGCAATTTTCTCTTAGTAAATCCATGTTGGCTTATACCTTTTTTCATCTGACTATGAATTTTGCCTCAAGTTATTTTTGTGGAAGTTTCCCCATCACTGAAGATAAACTGACTGACCTGTTATTGGTGGGCTTATCTTCACCTCCTTTCATAAACAAGGGTGCAACATTTGCAATTTTTCACTCTTCTGGTACCACCACCACCACCGTCCGCCCGGCCCCCCCGTCCCCCACCCTCCAAAATCTCAGGAAGACTTTTAAAAATTGAGGTCAGTACCTCTGCACTTTCTGCTCATTTTTGTCAGTATCTTTGGAATCATGCATCCTCGTCTTGCTTACATTAAATTTGCTAATTTATATCAGTTCTTATGTATTTTTTTGTTCTCATTCTTAAAAATAAATTGGAACAGAATTAAGTGAAGTTATCCTGAGAATCACTCCTTTATAACCAGGATCAAAACGAACAATAGGGGAATGCTGCACTCATGATTGGGAGCCTGGTTTTTTTTTTTAAAATGTTTGTTTTCATCATCTTCAACATGGAAGATAAATTGTATTTTACAGTTTAACTTCAAATTATTACAACTCCAGCGTACTGGAACTAATCTGCAGAATTAATTAATCCAGCGTGTGAGCTCCTAGTTTGGCTGTAGCAGTAAAACCATTTATTTAAAAAAGGGGTACAGACCATTGGTGCTTATTTCACACCACACCATGAAAGAGAAACAAAATTTAGAGGTGTTTTTCAATTTCATTTTATTGACTTTTATTTTTGCCATGGCTCTTCAATTTTTTTATAAATATGAAGATGTACAAGAAATTGACCACAACGTAATCATCTTTGCTAGAATACATTGTGCAAAACCGAAAGACTCCCTCAATGAAAAATATTCCATGATGCAAGTCTGATAAAATCTCGCACATTGGCATGTAATTCCTTTTGTGTCAATAACAAAACTTCATATTGTTCTCAAGTGGCTACTTTTAGAATTAAAATGCTTTTACTTAGATCTATCAGAAGGAATGACGAGAGTAATCTTTGTAAAATCTTGTTACTTTTTAACAGGTTGAGGTGAAAGCTGTTCCTCTTTCTCAAAAGAAGTCTATGCAGCAGGAGAACACTAAAAAACTGCACCGTATCCCTGGCAGTCCACCAACTATTGTTCCATGTACTGATATGACGTTTGGTGGATTACCCTCTCCCAAACTGGAAGTGTCTTATGAACCAATGATCGTAAAAGAAGCTCGGTATACTGCAATCACTATGATGAAGGTATTTTATACACATTCTCAACATTTCAATTTCACAGCAAACCATTTCCTAATTTGATCCCAGCCAATGTAATTGGCTCTAGTGAGCTACAGTCCAGCCCAGATCAATTATCCCTTCATGTTTGAATCTCTGACTTCTCCGATTTAAAGAGTTGATGCAAACATGTTTCTGCTAGCCTGTTCTGAAAGGTTGGCCTGAATCAGTTGGTAGTTAATCTCTTACTACAGTTTTGAACCATCTTGCTTTGTATTTGCCTTATAAATGTTCTTCTGCATTCCTCTTCATACAGGCATATGAAAATTATTCATTTGAAGAGCTTCGATTTGCATCTCCCACTCCTAAAAGGTAAAATGAAAACATCAAATGTAAACCAAAAAAAATTAGTGCAAGGTATCTCCAAGTATATTGATTTTATTGACTGACTTACTGATTAACTTTCTCAGGCCAAGTGAAAATATGTTAATTCGGGCTAATAATGATGGAACCTACAGTGCCAACTGGACCCCTGGAGCTGTAGGTCTTTACACTATCCATGTCACAATAGATGGGATCGAAACAGGTAACTTTGTGTTAAATGTTACACTTCATAGCCGCAAGCAACCTGGTATATTGTGCAAAAGTTGGAAATAATTTCCAACTTGACCTTTAGATAAATTTGAAGATGTTTTTAGTTTGCTTTGTACTATTTTTATTGTTTTTCAACACCTATAGAAATTTGAATCTTGATAACATTGTCATCCAGTAAAACAAAACATTCATTTCAAGATAACAAGGTGTAAAGCTGGATGAACACAGCAGGCCAAGCAGCATCAGAGGAGCAGGAAAGCTGACGTTTCGGGTCGAGACCCTTCTTCAGAAATGGGGAGGGGAAGGGGATTCTGAAATAAATAGGGAGGGGGGAGGAAGTGGATAGAAGATGGATAAAGGAGAAGATAGGTGGAGAGGAGACAGACAGGTCAAAGAGGTGGGGTTGGAGCCAGTAAAGGTGAATGTAGGTGGGGAGTTAGGGAGGCGATAGGTCGGTCCAGGGAGGACGGACAGGTCAAGGAGGCGGGATGAGGCTGGTTGGTAGGAGATGGGGGTGGGGCTTGAGGTGGGAGGAATGGTTAGGGAGGTGGGGACGAGCTGGGCTGGTTTTGGGATGCGGTTGGGCGGGGGGAGATTTTGAAGCCTGTGAAGTCCATGTTGACACCCTTGGGCTGCAAGGTTCCCAAGTGAAATATGAGATGCTGTTCCTGCAGCCTTCGGGTGGCATCATTGTGGCACTGCAGGAGGCCCAGGATGGACATGTTGTCCAAGGAGTGGGAGGGGGAGTTGAAATGGTTCGCAACTGGGAGGTGGATTTGTTTGTTGCGAACTGAGCGTAGGTGTTCCACAAAGCAGTCCCCAAGCCTCCGCTTGTTTTCCCTGATGTAGAGGAGGCCACAACGGGGACAGCAGATACAGTATACCACATTGGCAGATGTGCAGGTGAACATCTGTTTGATGTGGAAGGTCTTCTTAGGGCCTGGGATGGGGGTGAGGGGGGAGGTATAGGGGTAGGTGTAGCACTTCCTGCGGTTGCAGGGAAAAGTGCCAAGGGTGGTGGGGCTGGTGGGGAGTATAGAGTGGACAAGGGGGTCACGGAGAGAGTGGTCCCTCCAGAAAGCAGATAAGGGTGGGGAGGGAAAAATGTCTTTGGTGGTGGGGTCGGATTGCAGATGGCGGAAGTGTCGGAGGATGATGCGTTGGATTTGGAGGTTGGTGGGGTGGTACGTCAGGACGAGGGGGATTCTGTTTTGGTTGTTATTGCGGGTAGGGGGTGTGAGGGATGAGTTGCGGGAAATGTGAGAGACAAGGTCGAGGGCGTTTTCGACCACTGTGGAGGGGAAGTTGCGGTCCTTGAAAAACAAGGACATCTGGGATGTCCAGGAGTGGAATGCCTCATCTCGGGAGCAGTTGCGGCGCAGGCGAAGGAATTGGGAATAGGAGATGGCCCTTTTGCAGGAAGGTGGGTGAGAGGAGGTGTATTCTAGGTAGCTGTGGGAGTCGGTAGGCTTGAAATGGATATCATTTTCCAGGTGGATGCCAGAGATGGAGACAGAGGTCCAGGAAGGAGAGAGAAGTATCAGAGATGGTCCAGGTGAACTTAAGGTTGGGGTGGAAGGTATTAGTGAAGTGGATGAACTGTTCAAGTTCCTCGTGGGAGCACGAGGCGGCGCCGATACAGTCTTCGATGTAATGGAGGAAAGGGTGGGGTATAGGGCCAGTGTAGCTTTGGAAGAGGGATTGTTCCACATATCCTACAAAGAGGCAGGCATAGCTTGGGCCCATGCGGGTACCCATGGCCACCCCCTTTGTCTGTAGGAAGTGGGAGGAATTGAAGGAGAAGTTGTTGAGGGTGAGGATGAGTTCAGCTAAGCGGATGAGGGTGTCAGTGGAGGGGGACTGGTCGGGTCTGCGGGACAGGAAGAAGCGGAAGGCCTTTAGGCCATCTGCATGGGGAATGCAAGTGTATAGGGACTGGATGTCCGTGGTAAAGATGAGGTGTTGGGGACCAGGGAATCGGAAGTTTTGGAGGTGGTGGAGGGTGTGGGTGGTGTCACAGATGTAGGTGGGGAGTTCCTGGACCAAGGGCAAGAAGATTGAGTCAAGATAAGTGGAGATGAGTTCAGTTGGGCAGGAGCAGGTGGAGACAGTGGGCCATCCCAGGCCGTAAGAAGACCTTCCACATCAAACAGATGTTCACCTGCACATGTGCTACTGTGGTATACTGTTTCCACTGTTCCCATTGTGGCCTCCTCTACAGCGGGGAAACCAAGCAGAGGTTGGGGACTGCTTTGTGGAACACCTACACTTGGCTCACAACAAACAACTACACATCCAGTCGCGAACCATTTCAACTCCCCCTCCCACTCCTTGGACAAGATGTCCATCCTGGGCCTCCTGCATTGCGACAGTGATGCCACCCGAAGGCTGCAGGAGCAGCATCTCATATTTCGCTTGGGAACCTTGCAGCCCAAGGGTGTCAACATGGACTTCACAGGCTTCAAAATCTCCCCCCGCCCAACCGCATCCCAAAACCAGCCCAGCTCATCCCCACCTCCCTAACCATTCCTCCCACCTCAAGCCCCACCCCCATCTCCTACCAACCAGCCTCATCCCGCCTCCTTGACCTGTCCGTCCTCCCTGGACCGACCTATCGCCTCCCTAACTCCCACCTACATTCACCTTTACTGGCTCCACCCCCACCTCTTTGACCTGTCTGTCTTCTCTCCACCTATCTTCTCCTTTATCCATCTTCTATCCGCCTCCCGCTGCGCACCCCCCCCC